TGCTAAATCTCTCAATTAGTTCCATTAGGTTTTTGACTGAATCTCTTGGGTTTTCTAGGTATAGGATCATATCATCAGCAAGAACTATTATTTTTAAGATAATTCGTTTCATTATAGTTTTTTTTTTTTTCTTTCCCCATTCATAGTGATGTTTGCTCTATGATTTCTTTTTCTGGTGAGAGTTCTTCATTTGTCATTTGATTTTCTTTTTCCTTTTATTCTTTTAAAGTGACATCTTTGTATGTTGATTCCCTCAGCCACTTTCTTTTTTATTATTATTTATCTGTGAATGATGTGAAATATTTGTGGCCTTGCTTTTTATTGGATATTTGTGTTAGGGAGGGAAGTTCATTCTTTTTTGTCCTTTGCCTCACCCTGCCATCCAGTGTGCACAACTTTCTTGTATCTGGAACCTTTCAGTTTTAAATTCTTTGAAGAATAAACTTGTACAAAACTGTTATATGTAGATTTCAGCCATTTCTATCTGCTTTCAGCTGCAGGTTTCATCCTGCATTTCTTCAGTTCTTGGTACCTCCAGTTTCTGAGCTTTTTTTACAGGGCAATTTAGTTCAGGTCCTTGATATCTTCTGATCACCTACTTCAATTACAGCCTTCTCTTTGCTAGATTAGTTACCACTCTTCAGATCACTTTTTGTCTTCCAAAAATACATTGAAATTTCTTGTCTTTTGACAAGTTCTTTTCTAGTATTTGTCTTTGTGGGTTTATACCTTTTGTGTTCCTTCATTTCATTTTCTTGGTGTTTCAGGAGGCATAAGAAATCATGTGAAGAAGTCTGCCATACTTACCAGAAGTCCGAAATGAATTAATTTTTTGAATTAACTGAGATTAACTTCTCAGTGCTGATATGATTTCAGGAACATACTAGGTGATGATAACACATTCAGCTCAACCTACCAGACTTCTTGGATTCTTGAGTTTGATAACATGCAGCATTCTTACTCATTTAAAATTCATAAGTTTCTAAAGACTGAGAATTTTTCTGTGTTTTAATGTAAAATGGTCACATTCTAATTTGATTAATGTTAACAGTTACAATACATGGAGCTGATTTTACTCTTTTTCCTATTATTTAGTGGATGGAAGCACAGTATATGCAGAGAGTGTGATTCTGACTACTGGCACGTTTTTGAGAGGCATGGTCGTAATTGGATTGGAGATGACTCCGGCAGGACGTTTAGGGGATCAGCCTTCAATAGGGTTGGCTCAAACTTTGGAGAAGTTGGGGTTTGTGGTGGGGAGATTGAAGACTGGTACTCCACCCCGAATTGCCAAAGGTTCCATTAATTTCAGCATTCTAAACAAGCAGATGCCAGATGATCCATCTATACCATTCAGCTTTATCAACGAGACAGTGTGGATTAAGGTAAGGTGATTTATGAAAAACTGGCTTTATAGCTTACATTAGCTATTCATATCCAGATAATTTAGCTCTTTTTTTTTTTTTTTTTTGGCAACAGCTAACTTTACATCAGTATTGTGTAGAGTGCAAAAATGTCGTCTTTTAAAGACTTACCAAAAAAATAATTTGGCTAAATTGGAAGTTTCTCCATAAAGTTTAAAGTTTCATTACTTTTTATGTCTTTGCCTATTTTTTAACGGTGTTATTGATATATAATTCAGCTACTTACAATGTTTAATTCATTGGTATTCAGTATGTTCACAGAATTGTATGATCATTACCGTAGTCATTACCATAGATCATTACCATAGCCTGTTTTTTATTAAACTTTTTGGAACAATTTCAGACCTATAGAAAAGTTGCAAGACTTTTACAACAGACTCCTGTGATATTCATCCATTGTTAATATTTGACCATATTTATATATCTGCATATGTAGATGTGGACAAATAGATATATGTCTGTATTTAATATGTAATACAATACCATCCATGTTTATTATTAATCTTTTTTTTTTCCCCGAGATACCTAAGAGTAAGTTGCAGGGATCATGGTCTTTTATTCCTAACTACTTCATCCTGTATCTCAACTGAGCACAGAGATCCTCTTTCATAAATTTAGTACAGTGATCAAATTCAAGAAATTTAACATAGATCCAATGCTGTTATCTAATATAAAGTCCATAGTCAGATTTTACTGATTGTCCCTTATAGCACACCCCCCCTCCAAATCTAGGATCATGCATTGTATTTAATTGTTATTTCTTTTTGATTTCCTTTACTCTAGATCAGCTCCTCAGGTTTTGTCTTTCACGATACTGACATTTTTTTTTTTTTTTTTAGGATTTGGGTGAAGATTTACAGAGTAAATTCACTTTTCATACAGCAGTTCACATATACTTTGTCTCATGTCATTGACCAAAATTT